TATCTTAAAGTTGCTGAGGTCAAGGAACCATGCTTTACAGTATCTCTTTCCACAGCCTAGATGGGTGATAGAAAGGGGACATGATAATGCTAGAATCTCAAGATTTTCCTGACTTTCCTTCTGTTTTGAATTAGCACAGCAATAAAACCTATTTTTATTCATTGTTTTTTCACAATCCTATTTTGATGTAAAATATTGACTCTTTTCTTGTCACAGCCCCTTTCCCCTCCTCTTCTCATTTCCTCTTGTTCTTCATTTCAGAAGGTTTGGCAAAACGCACAGAGTTTATTGCTTGGAAACTCCTACATTTTCAGATCGTCTTTAAGTGCAGGTAACAAAATGAAGTTTCGTAACTATGTTTAATGAAATAAATATAGTGTGGATGGTTTACTTCCTCTTCATTATGTGGGCAAAACCTCTCTAGCTAGAAATTAAGAGTGCTGGAGAAGAGGGTTAAAAAAAAAACAAAAAAAACCCAAAACAGAGGAGTGTGTCATTTCCTGAACTCTCAAATTATAAGCTGGAGCATTTCAGAAAAGTTACAGCAAGTATAATTAAAGAGTCTAAATGAGAGTTTTAATTCAAAGAGTTATTGTTTGAATACATGGTTTATTTTAATGTGTGGTTAGTCCAATATTTAAATGACCCTGAGAGTTTAAAAAATTAGTGTGTGCTTACTGTTTGGGTTTCAATGTTCTCTCTATATAGAGAGAGGGGTTTTTTTTCATATTCCATTTTATTAATCTCTTTATTACATATTACTTCCACTCTGTCCAAATTCTGCCAACCAAAAAACCATCTGAAAAACCATTGTATGGTCTGCTCCGCAATGTCGTTTCCCTTTGTGTTGTTCCATGGGAGATTCTTTACTATGTCACTTATCTAAAACTGCACATTTTTATTTCCTTCTATTTAATAATGTTTAATTTATAGTTAACTATATTCTTTTAGTTTATCTTGTTATGGATTTACAAGTTTTATCACCACCACAACAAATTCCCTGTGACCACAGCTACTTGGCATTCCGGCATAAGATCATCAAGTTGCTTTAGAACTGAGAACATATCCAATTTATCTCTGCTCAGTAACAACTGCATGCTTAGTATAGTATGTCTTTTGCATCCCTTTAAAGAAGTGTTTCTCAGCCTTGGCAACTTGAAGAAGTATGGACTTCAACTTCCAGAATTACATGATAATTCAAGCAATCAGTCTTTTAATCTTGCTAATAGTACAAGGAAAATTGTCAGGTTTGCCATGGATATTCCAATTACTGTAATGCACTTTCCTACAAGCCTATGATTCTTAACTTTGATTTTGAAAATCGTTTCCAGCTTCATCTACCAGGTCTGAAACAGAAGTGGGGACTGTTATTTATTTTATTTTTTTTAAGGAGCAAAGTAGAGGAAGCTCAGTCAGTGCTATTACTTCTGGGATAGAAAGTTTAGAACAGTGGAGCATCATGGGGAAAAAAGCGTTGCCTTTGTCCTGAACCATCCTTTCTTTCTGTTTTGAAATTCTGGGGCTAAGCAACATGCTTCCAACCACGTGTTATTCCTCTGGGCTGAACTACTTAGAATAGGTGGAAAGTCAAGAAATTACATGCTCTTCTCTAACATAAGGAATAGGTGTACATAGAAAATCACCACTCCAGGGTAATCTCTCCTCTGGCTGATATTGTACTGTGAACCATTCAAATAATGTACACCGCCCAGAGTCACCTCGTGTGAGATGGGCGGCTATATACATTTGCAAAAATAAATAAATAAATAAATAACACGTCACTCTCCATCTCCAGCCAGACCTGGGATCAGCCCCTGGAGGGGAAAAAAAGTTTTCCCCTTGAAATGACATGGTCTTCAGGCAAAACAGGTACCGCTATTACACATTTCAACTTTTGAAAGAACCGCTTGGAAGTATGAAGTGAAAGAAATGCCATCTTG